CCCCTTCGTTTGGCTCCACTTAGACCCCCTTCCCCTGCCCTCAGGCTCCGCATGTGCCCTGTTGCTATGGTCCCCTCTCCTTCCCTCCTTCCTCCCAAATTCCCTCTTCCTAGTTCAGCCCCGTGACAACCCTGGGATAGAGAAGGGCAAGGGGTGCCAGGCAGGGGAGGGGTGATCCAGGCAAGAGAACAGCACCTTCAGAGGTGTGATGAGATGGAAGAAGCATTGGGGAGAAAAAAACCCCTTGAACAGACTGGGAGAGGCAAACTACGTGGCTGGGTCAAGTAACAGCAAAGTAAAGGACAAACTTTCTGTTGTTTGTGGCAGAGGGATTGCACTGGTGATAGCTTCAAGTCTGGATCCCATGGGCCAGAAAAAGAGCAAAGGAAGAGGAAATGTGCTAAAGGAATGAAGGAAGCTTTAGAGAATCAAGTAGAGGGTCCTCAGGCCTTCTTGCTCACTTTTCAGGAAAAATGTCCGTCCCACAGTGATGACTACTGCTGTTTCCTGGCAGCTTCTGGCTTCAGTTTTTCCAAGTTGGCCTCCAAATCCCTGTCTGCCAGTTCTACAGCAGAATGATATAGAGAGTCACAAACCTGAGACTAGAGGAGTTAAAACTGCGTGATAAACACAATGTTTCTTCTGCTGGGCCAGAGTCCACAGGGAGCCTGGTGCCTGATAACAACAATAACATCCCTTTGTGCTGGGATGTTACTACCCATGACCCAGAATTCGGCCCCCTCCTTTTGCATCCGAGTCAGGTTTGCACCCCAGAGAAGCCTGCAGGTTGCTCAGCATTTTCTTGGTGATGCAGCGAGGTCTTGGTTTCCTCGCGCAGCCTCAGCTAGACTTGGAGGAATCTTTTCTGGTTCTCTTGATGTGGTCAGAAATCTTTACAATAAAGATTTTCAGAAAGAAACGTTGAAGTTACATACATAGATAAATACTGAAGCATTGAGTAGAGAATTGACACCTTGCTTCTGTTAATAAATCCTTTTTAGAAAGAAGACAGCCTACATTTAATATGATTAAAATTAAACTCATACGAAGTGGATACGCGAAGATCTTCAGAAAACTATACTAGGACATTCCCCCTTTTCTCCTCTTTGTGTATAAGTTCTGGTATTTAGAGAAAAACCTGTGACAAATAAAGATACTTCTTTTTACTCAACTGATGGACAGCTAAAAAACCGTCACAATCTCACTTATGAAATTAGCTACATTCTTGTAGACATGGAAGGCTCAAGGGCTCTGAGGCAAATTGGTTTCTTAAAGTCTAATATTGGACTTTCTGTAATTCATTTGAAGGATAATATCAAATAAAATATTCTGATTGAAAGAAATCTCTAATTTTTAGTCTAAAACTGTAGGGTATTTTTTCTGCAAGCATTTCATTGCACCCGGGTCTTTCATGTACAGTTTCAAGTGCTCTCTTACTAGACAAGCTGCTTTTTCTTCGCTTCTCCTTAGGCTGGTTAAGGACTGCACCTTCTGAGAAGTTAGGGAAGTCAAAACTCTGTTTATATTGTGTATGGGTCTCAGAATGAGGATTCCCCCAAGCTTCCCAGAAATTTCAGCTGGCTTTTTTCAAAGCTGAACAGTCTACAACACAGTCCATCCACAAACAGCTTGGACAAGAGCTCGGTGCTCCTTTCACACACAGCTTCATAAGAGCAAAGATGAAAGCAGCAGAGATCTGAGAAGGCCTTTTGTGTGGCTTCCAAAATATGAGTAATTTCTGGTGTTCTAAGAATGGAAACAAAAATATGCTTGATTTTTATCTGCCTGGTTTGATAGCCTCATTTATGAAAGACAAAAATTCACTCAATTACTGCAGTTCTCTTATTTCAGCTGCTTTGCAGTGGCTCAGAGCAGAAAACCGAACGAAAAACAATAGGCTGTATTTTCTTCCATGTCTGAGCTCATAAGAAAATTTACTGGTGTGGTGTTTAGCAGACGAATCATTCTCCCATAGTCATGCAACAGAGAAATGATGAAAGATGCTTTCAATCTTCTATCACCAAAACAATGTTCCTTTTCACTGTGTGGATTTAGTCCCGTGCTTCTGCCAGCAGTGGTTTCAGAAAAAAGAATATTCTTCCTATTTCAGCCAGCGACTTGTAAAACATCTAAGGGCAGCATTTCAGCTACATTTCAAAGTCACATCTTCAGCCGGAGCTGCTGGGGTGATGCCTTTACACCTTACAGCTCTCTTAGAACCTGGAACCCAGTACCCAGGCAAAGAAAAATACCAACACATCTCCAAAACAGCCTGGTGTGCTGAAACAGGAACCTGGACATTTTATGCAGCCTGAGTACCCTTTATTATATAACTATATATAAATATAAAATACACAGTTTAAAATGACACTGTCTTAAGGTCCTACATAAATGAAAACCTTAATCCAAGCTGATTGATGTCAAGATCAAAGGATCCCAGAGCTGAGATGTGCAGGCTAAATTATCCCATTTGCTTTGGAGAGAGACACTGTACCTAGCGCCAGTTTTACCCAAGAGGCAAGCAGGAGAGTAGCATTCCCACTTGCACTCTTTGTTTCTGTTAGGAAAAAATGATGCCCTGCATTGACACCACTGTTGTCCTGGGCTACACAAGTTGCAGTGACAGGAGGTGGCCAAAGGCAGGGTTGGGTCAGACCAACAACTGCCCAGCCATGAGACAGGCAAAAAGGCAGGATTTCTGCGGGTTCTTTGGTTTGTGTTCCCCCCACCCCCCGGATGGTGGCAATAGTAGCTCAGAACATTCCTGTAAACTTCCAAAGTACGCTCTGCTTCCATTTACTGAGAAAGTTAACCTGCTTCATAGCATTCATATTGAAGCAGCAAAATAGAGCAGCTCATTCCACTTGAATTTCACACCAATTTTATTTTTAATTCTCAAGACCTATTCAAAGTTTTCAAAATTTACAACATTTCATAGCTCAATATTATTTATTAAATAAATAAATCTTATATACCTGTCTGAAATACAGCCTCCAACAAATTACTACCAAATTGTTAACAGAGATAACTGGGCGGACATGCATGAGATAATCACAAAGAAACCTGAGAACAGCGATTAGGATCTTACCCAGTGTAAAAACTTCTGATTCCCTCAGTCACCTGCTTGTTCATTCCCTGAAAGGTGGTTTGTATCTATTTTGTACTCTTTTTTTTCTCAGCTAACAGCCAGTTAATTATACATAGTCTGCTTACATTCATTCTATTGCTGTGTGAAGCCAAATTCCATAGCACTAGCATATAGCATTTTAGTAGCTGTCTTTGTATAGCGTGAAGGCAAATACATGCATTGGCTTTAAGTGTTCTGCCTTCGGGTGTCATTAGCTGTTCTCAATTCGGACACTGTCAAAGACAAATAGATTGATAACGTCTTCCTTTCTTGTACAGCGTTTTGCTTGTAAGCTACCACATACTCCGTTTTCACTCAGTCTCTCATCCTATCATGCTCGTAAGCAGAAACCTACAAAAGCGTGTCACAACTCAACATTCAGCTAAACAGTGAAAGAAATTACAATCCTGCACGTGAACAGATACTTTCATGACTCCAAACCCTGCTAAACCCCACTCCGGGTGATCAGCTTGTCGAAAATAATAATACGTAATCTCTGTAATCTTCCTGGGTCTATAAAGGTTTCTTGCCAGCTTTGGGCCTTTCTCTCTTCCCTCTGAAAATCCTTTTCATCACCCATGTCCAGACTCCTTGTTTCTATGAGAGACTCATTTTGCTTTTTTAAAAAAGACCCACTAGTTTAAACATTAGTGGCAACCTGCTTTTGAAACTTGGGAAAAGGTCTCCAAAACCCCCCAGAGCGCAAGCACAGACCCTGCTGAGCGGCGAGGGCTGATGCTGCACAGCCCATGCAAGGGGACCAGGGCTGAGCTCTGCCCTCCCACTCACACCCTGCTCCCCACCAACCACTGGCCCAGGGGAAAAACCTGCTTCTCCCCCGGCCTCTTCCCTCACAGAGGAGGAGGAGGAGAAGATTACACTGCAATGGTGGGAAAGCTTGGACAAAATGAGAGTTCCTCCTTTGAAAGTTATGGGGCTCAGGAGAAAAAAAATCCTGATTTTGACACTTGCTGCTGGTTCCCCTTTCCCCACACTCCCCAGCTGCATTATTACTGAGTGTTAGGGAGGCTAAAAAAAACATTTTATGGCTAGTACTGGGTTTATTTATTCTCAACGTGCCCACCCGCTTTCATTGTAGGTTACTCGGCTTTTTGACTACAACTCAGCCCAATTCTTCTGGGATGCACATTTGAAATACATGGGTGTGGAAAAATCAGATAACATGCACTTGCTCCAGGAAGTCAGAGGAGAGGAGACAGCTAGCACTGGCCATCTTTGTGCTGCCTACAAGGCCACACCACCTTGGGGAGCTCATTTCTCCTTCTCTGGATCTGAAGGTAAAGATTTCACAAGCATAGGGTAGGATTCAAGGAATTACAAAAGAACTGATGAGATCTGACCTGCATGTTAGAAGCAAGGAATTTCAGCAATAGGTAATGCATGTCACCCAGGATGGGTGTAGGTCTGCCCACCTGCAGCATCCACTCCCTGGCTCCTGCCCGCCTCCTGCTTCCCACTGCACTCACCTGCCATTGCACCACCACACACACAAAACCCACCAGGCAGCCAACTGCCCCTCCACCCACCCTTTTATTTCCCCCCTGCCTCCTGCAGGCAGATGGGATGCCTGGAAGCATGGGGCAGCTGTGATGGATTAGGGAAATGAAGAAGGGGGCTGTGAAAACTGCAGAGGAGGAAGAGGGGGGGATGGAAACCTCCATGTGCCCTTTGCTTTGGCTTTACTTTCTAGGAAGGGCTGGTGGAAGTCGGAGTTGGTAACTTCCTGGTGCCTGGTGACTCCTGGCTTGAAGCCTGCTGCTCCTGGCACCTGGGCTACAAGTTCAGGCTGGCCTCAGTCTTGGCCCCGTCTCTCATGCCATTTGGGGAATGGGTTGAAAGCCCTGAAGCTCACAGCAGCAGACTTGGCTGGTCCATGGGCCTTCTGCATCCCGGCCCCTGTTGGGGGTCTCTTTCAGCCCATCAGCAATGCCTCTCAGGCCAGCACCCCAACAAAATGCTGCCCTGTTTCAGACAGTCCCCTCCCTAGTTGCGAGCTTGTAATGTTAAAATATCAGAAAGGAACAAACATAACTTTGAAAACCCCAGAAAATACAAAACATGAGCTTCATTATGCAGATCCACATAGCCAGTCTGAGTCTCAAATAAATACTTTACAATACCTTTTCTACAAAATGCAATATTATAGTGTAACAAAATAAATAAATATCTATTATAAATCGTCCTTTTTTGTATTTCCCTTGGAGTGAAGCCACAGCAGGTGTGCTTGGAAGGCCGAGGTGCCATTACAAGAAGTTTCTCTCTCCCACGTGTAGGGCAGGCAGCTGTTCAGGTGTTCAGCAGCGCGCCAGGGCTGGGGGCCACTGTGGGAGCCTGCCGGCCCGCAGCTCCGTACTGCCTGCACTTCTGGGCCTTGGTACAGGCAGGAAGGACCTAGCGGAAGAGAAGTTGTTGGGGTTTTTTTCCTTCTTCAAAATATATGGATATTTTAAGTGCAGAGGTAGAGATCCAGGCTGCATGCATTACCAAATGGGTCTTTGCAACGCTCTGTGCGAGGGGAGACTAAAGATTTCCCCTCACAATCCCCACAGCAGGTTCCAGCTTGGACCTAGAGAAGCAGTGCCCATGGAAGACATGTATCTCATTGCCTCCCACTGTGTTTTGTCTCCACAACACCTATCAAAAGTAAGGGTGCATGCTCTGGGCATATCCCATGAGGAGACTGAGGTGTCTTCAGCATAAAACCGGGCTGTAACTTTCTGAAACGATGCCACCTTGCACAGTTTAGCCCTGCCTCAAGCTTGCTTGAGACACGTCCTCAAAGCTGCTTCCTCCACAAGCTGCTCTGGCTGTGCCGGAGGAAGGTTATTTTAGGAGATGCAGAAGACTGAATGGTCTAAGGGTACGGCCACTGCTTGCACAACTATGTTGTGCACAAATATAGTAACAGAGTGATGCTTCCCTCACAGCATGTCTTGTCATTGAGAAAGCGAATGTTTTCTAGCTGTCATCACTGTCGGGCGCCTATGGGCCTGGCTAAGCACCTTCAGGTTTCTCCTTCCCAGCTGTCTGGCTGGGGGCTAATTCCTTCATCCCCCTCTGCCCTGGGTGCAGCCATCCCTGGGGTGGCCGGGCAGAGCTGGCTCCTGGCGCTGAGCCCCGTGACCGGTGCGAGTGAGCCCTGCAGCACCCCAGGGAAAGACAGACCTACCCAGCATGGCCAGGCTGGGTTTCTTTCCGGGTCACGTAGGTGCCTGAGGTAGCGGCGGAGGAGGCAGGCGAGAAGAAGGAGGGAAGTCAGGGGGACCAGCACCCCCACTGCAATGGCAATAGTTGGTGCCACCCTGCTGTCCAGACTTTTTTTTTGCAAGTGGGTTCTCAGTTTGTGGAAGAGGGAAATAAAACAACCCCAAACCTCTTTCAGACATCCCTTGGCCAGTCCCTGGGGTGAGACAGGGCAGACAGGTTGCTGGGACCACAGCCCTGCCAGCAGCCCTGTGCTTGCATTGGGTGGGGGGCACCCACCCAGCCCCTCTGAGTTACTCAGAGCTGACACGGTCTGTTGGTCATGACAGGGAAACCCTGAGAGCCCTCGGCGAGGCAGGTAGGCTGGGGCACATCATGGTGTGCAGGGGATCCAGCGGGAAGTAAGACACCATATGCCATCACCCAGGGTGTTTACATGCTCCCCAGCACCTCCTCCTTCCCTCCTCAGACCAGCCCCAAATGCTCTTCCGTGTGCCTTCCCCATCTGCCCCCTGACTCTCAGAGGAGTCTCCTGATCTACCCCAGAAGGTGCTTTGTGGTCTCCTCCCTGGTTCAGGCAAAGAGTAGAGCTGCATACTGACCCTTCACCAGGCTGTCCATCGGCAGGACCAGGGTCACATTCAGAGAGGGGTGATGGATCACACAGGCGATGGGGTACTCCTGGAGGGTTTTGGAGAGGGTGTGGGTGAAATTGCTGATGACTGTCACGGTCTGGTTGCCGAGTCTGATGTGGTACTCCCTTGGTTTCTGCTGAAGGACACTAGGAAGATGCCAGGTGATTTTTGGAGCTGGCTTCCCTGTTGCTGAGCAGCTCATCCCCACCACTTTCTCTGAGTCCTCAGCCTTGTCTGGACTGGGTATAAGCTTAGCTTCTGCTTTGTGGTCCGAGATGGCTGTAAAACACAAAGTGACAACATCCATTACTTTCTGCTCATGTTTGAGCAAAGAGCATCTGTATATACCATTATCTTGGAGGACAACCAGTCTTGCCCATTTAAGCTTGCCTCCCCCTCACCAAAGCCCCGGCAGTGACAAACACACATGAAAGTGCTCAGGCAGCAGTCTGGAAGTGAAGAGCTTGGCCAAAAGAAAGGAAAAAAGGGTAGAAGCATCTGTGCTTCAATTGTGCTATTAACAGCAGCAGAGCAGCATCCCAAATGAGAAGTGGTGAATATGGACAAGTAAAGAGCAATAGGCAGTGAAACCACGAAACCACATGTCCTCCTCCCTCTGAAAGGGCTAAAATGTTTCAACAAGTCAAAATTCTTGTTCTTTTCCCTTAAATGTATCTGCACTACTAGCTTTATCACCATCTGAGATGTGCAGGCTTGTGGACCAAAGGACAAAATCCATCTATTTATGCAAGACAGTAATAGTGAATTTGTATGTGGTTACACCACAGGATTTCACCTGGGGAGGTTTTCTGCTTGTACAGCTTGCTTCCTTCTAGTGTTGCGTTTTGGGCACATTATGGTATCCCTCAAAGCCTTCATTAAAGATCATTTCGTCTGAAATCCTTCTCGCCCTAGAAGATCTGCGGATGCTGTCACATGTAACCTTAGTCAGCAAGAAGGATGAGCTACAGGCATCATTCATGCTTACTCACTTGTGTGAAGCCTGCTTATGAATTCCTATTTATAAGAACTATATTTACAAGGAATAAAGAAAGGGGAGGAGTGTAGGAAGCTATTTTCAGCCTGGGTAGAACTCCATAGGACACGGGAGACCTGAACACATAACAACTTGTCTATACCATGTAGAAAATCACCTATTTATTCTTTGACCATAAAATCATACCATAATTTAGGTCGGAAATGACCTCTGGAGGTCATCTAGTCCAAGTCCCTGCTCAAAGCCAGTCTAATGAGATCAGTTTGCTCAGGCCAAGATCTGTAAAGGCACTTAGCTCCATTTGGGAGTGCAGTCCACAGTTTTCCATGTAGCAGCTCGGCAGCCTGCCTTCTACTTCAGCAAGTACTGATGGCATTGGTGTCCAAGCCACACTGTACTTCTAGGTGCCTTTTTCTGGGAATATTACTTTTTTTAACCATTAAAGTGCAGTGGCAATTGTAGTTATATTAACTCAGAATTTATCAAGTCTGAATTATTATGAATACCCTCTGATTAAAAAGTATCTATTACTATATTTAGTAGTACTCCATGAGCATATTGCTATTTACATTGCAAAAGTAACAACGGTCAGTGCAATATTTACGCTGACATTATTTTTTTCTCCAACACTTTCAAACATACCACTACCATTTAGTGGTTCTACTTTTAAACAAAACAAAAAAACCTATTTATTCTTCTTAGGAAAATACGCTTCTTTTTTGTTTTGGGAGGTAAATGAAGATTTGCATATGGATGAGGTGTAGAAGACACTGAATGATCCTGTGGAAGGGTGAAAATGTTTGTGCCAGATGCATAATGATGCCTATAACTTCCTGGTACCATTCCATATGTACCTCACAACGTTGTCTGAATCCTCCAAGCCATAACTGCCAGAGGATGAAAGCAAGATATTGCATACCATCTGCTTTGGTTTTTTTTTGTTTGTTTGTTTGGTTGGCTTTTTTATGGTTAGACTTCTTTTATTTACTATGATTGTGCCTGCCTAGGGAAAAAAAAGTGTGTATTTCTCTTTTTTTGCATCACCCATACACAGAAACTGAAATCCCACAGAGCTGATGAAACCCGCTAGTGTTGCTCTGAGAGCAACAAAAAAAGTGTGTAGGGGAATTTCAGCGGGAACTTCTCAAAATCTCCCATGTATGAAAAGACAAGTGTCACAAACAGTGTATGTTTTGATTAATAAATGATCTCTGAACTTCTTCTTTCGCTCACGGGATGCATAAAAATAACATATCCACCCACAGCATTAACTTCAAATATTAGATTGCACCATCCAAAAGCAGTAAAGGAAAGCTGTCACAGATGTTTCCAGAGAGGATGAGAAAAATTGCCCAGTATCTTGGCAGAAACACATGAATTCCACATCTGCTCTGCTTCTAAATAGTCCTCTGTTGTCCCACATTGAACCTAAAGAAATTATTGTTATGTGAAAAAATACTGTAGGATTGAGCTTCCCTTTAGCAAGTCTCTGTGATAAATGCACAGTCGAAACCTGTAAGTGCTTGCTTTAGCAGTGAAGTCCTGCTACACAGTTTGTTAGCGTGTGCCCACTGTTGATGTTTTATACATACACCCAAATTAACTGCTTCTTTTGCCTTTCATCATTTGTTTCCAGTGAAAAAGTACCTGCGAGAGATGCTGTGCCCAAGTACTTGCTTTAGTAACTCTTGCAGAGTAGTAATGCAAGCGTTCCCAAATTCAAACTGTGACGATGTTTGCAAGTATTTGAAAAAGAGTCTTTCTAGTGAAGTACATCAGCTTTGATAGTCTGTAATGACCTTGTGTAGCTAAAGGGGGACTGGCAGGTCAGGATGTGCTTTTCTTTTTAAAGGCTTGACAGTGGTCTCCGACACACTGACAAAATTTTTTAGGAATTACGGTGTGCCTCATGATAACAGAAAGCCTTTTGCAAATGTATGAGTGTTCACCAGCAACACTATGACTCTTTTTCTCTGTCTAAGAAATAGCAATGACATTTCTCTGCTGTGGTCCATACTTTCAGGCAGATGGGGCCATCTACCATGAAGGCAGAAGGTCTCCGAAGACAGCTCAGCAAACGCCCAGGGAATTTTGTCACCCAGCAAGTCTTGGCCATTCTTGTGTGGCACTTCCTCTCCCACTTGGTCTCTTTCCTGGGTTTTATCCTCGTCCTCTTTGGCAATGAAGGTTAGCAAAACATTTCCAAAGCAAAACGGAGGGGGAAAGGGAGAAGGCTGTTCAGAAGAGACCCACCAAGCACGCTTGAAAATATTCTGTTCCAAAGCTGGTTTTGCTACAGGGTCAGGAATATCTGCTTCTTCTTGGGCTTGTTGTTTTCAGCCAGGCAGGTCTGTGATTCCTCCAGTCATACCTGTAGCTTTTTCCACAGCATCGTATCCAGTTCTTACGTGGTTTCACTTCCCCTCATCATGCAGCGACGGTGCCTGTCCTGGAACAGCCCCTCTCACGAAGGCTGTTGTAATCGGCAATTACCAGTTTGTAAACTCCCTGGCAGTCCCCTCTTGAGGCCAAAGACATGGCAGCGTTTCATTTTCAGCTGGTGACTCTGGCTTGCTCACCTTGCACTGGATCTCTGAGCCTCGGGAGATTCCTGCTTGCTTCACACTCCTGCCCAGGGAGTCCTCTGGGCTCGTTCAGACAAGTGGTTGCCATTGTTATGAGTTGACGAGTATGAGAGAAAGGCAGTGCCTTTTAAGTAGCATCACACAAATGAGCTTCAATGAAATGTGCCAAATGGGAACCAAAATCTTCTGTCACAGTGCCGAACACTTCCTTTATTCATGGTGACCTTCCAGGACATGGTTGACACAGCACTTCTCAGGGAGGCCACCATGACCCCCGCGAGCCTGCGCTGGCACAGCAGGAGTGGTGGGCTTGTGCTTGCCCACCTGAGAAATGAAACCCTCTCAGTTTGTGGGGTTTCACCACAGAAGCAGGAAGAGATGCTCATGGGAGTATGAATAGCAGCAGAAAAACCTTTCTTTTTTTTTTTTCAAAGTGGAGCTCTGCTAAAGACGAATCATAGACACAAGGCTGGTGATTTTGGGAAAAATTTTGCCCCTTGGATAAAAAACCTGGAAAAACTAACAAAACAAAATAAAACAAAACTAACTCCATGTTTAGATTTACATGATAAATGAGAAAGGTTTCCCTATGCAATGCACTTCCATATTTTCCTGTAATATATAAATCAGTGTTTATGCTCTGAATGACTCAGGGTTGGATGTTTTTAGGAACACCCTCTTCTTACTATCTGAAATATTGAGTGAATTTCTCCCAATTTCTCTTTTCTGTTCTAGGAGCTTGCCCAAGTGAGAGGAAAAAGAACTTTTGTTCCAGGCTTGGTTTTCCCTTGTATTTCCCCCTCCTTTGCCCCTGTTGTGTAAGTCATCTTTCCTCTGTAAACCAGGGGCATCTTCTTCCCACACAAGGACTCCTGGCGTGTGGGGGGGTGTGTGGGCATGTGTCTGTGTCTGTCAGCAGAAGGTACTAAGGACAAGCAGAATACCACCAGCGGCAGGTCCCAGATGCTGATGTTTTCCACATGGGACGTGATCTTTGGCCAACATCCCCACAGCAGAGCCAACGATGAGAAAGTCAGGAGTTAACAGGGTGTCCTCGGGGCATGCTTAATGTCTCAGATTTCTCACTGGCAGAAGACCAAGCATCTCCCTCGAAAGATAAACAGCTTTTCACTCTTGTTCTTTTTAAGTTCATCTATTTGTCTATTTTTCAGCTGTACTTGCTAGCTAACAATTTCATATGGAGGTGTCAAATATTGCCACCTCGACTCAGGATTTTTTTTAACTCTCGTCTTGAAGCTAATGGATGCTGACCTGCACAAGATATTCATGTGGCTATGCTGTATCTCAGCCTTATTTTTTTTTTTAATCCCTTTCCTGAACCCAGCCTAACTACTGTAATTTTTACTACAGCTTGAAAATCAGCTTCCAGATACTCAGGTCATGTATTTTCCACTCTGTCTTGAAAGTTCTGAATTTTTAAGGCAGAGCAAGAAAAAAGGGCCTGATCTCCAGGCTTAGGAGGAGAGAAGCAGTGCAAGGAAGCAGAGGAGCGCAGGGTTCACGGCTGCGGCAGGCTGGCTGTCAGCACAGCACATGGCCGGGGAAACTTGGAGGAAGTCATGGGTTACACGTCAGCTTTTGGATCTCGCTGTTGTTGACTTAAAGGGGAAGAAAATTAACGAATTGTTGAATGCTGGTTTCCCATCAAAGGTAAAACCAGAGAGGGAGGGAGAGCCAGGGAGGAAGCTGAGATACCTTTCCCGTAGCAATTTAGCAATGACCAGTGGTCCGGGAAGGTTTTTCCCAGGAAAACGACTTGGTCCTCAGATGACAGCCTGTGTGCAATTATGATGCCTTACCGTAAACCTTGAGACACATCCTGCCGGTGACAGCCCCCGAGGGAAATGTGTTGAAGATGCACTTGTAGCATCCTTCGTCTTGGAGGGTGACTCCGTGAAGGGAGATGGCCGAGGCTTGTAATTCACTGTGGGAAAATCTCACGTGGCCGACATAGCCCTTTGCTATCTTTTGGCCATTCAGCGTACTGTAAGTTGCTATATTGTCTTCAGCTCCGTCCGTCTCCTTCTGCCAGGTCACCTGTAGCACATCTTCTTTTGTGACAGACCGGCATGAAAAAGTAATGTTTCCTCCTGCCTGGACCGACTGGATCTTTCTGTGCATCACCTGCACAGAGCCTAGGGGAGAAGAGGGTACTGCATTCAGCATTTCTCACCACCCTTCTGCAACCCACCCCCAGCAAATCTCCCCCAGGCCCTTGGCCTCACTCCTGAGCAGAGCAGCTCCGGAGGGCTTCTCTGCCCTCTGCCCCTATATCCAGGGAAAAAATGAAAACTCAGCTTGAAAGAATTGCCCTGAGAGTTTCACTGGACCCAACATCTCCCACAACACAAAGCATCTCGCCGGCCTGTGCTGTAGAGACTGCCACCGAGAAAGGCATCTCCAGTGCCAGGAGTGGCTGATTTCTGTCTGCTGAGACTGTTACCCCACGGGCATCCGTGGAGAGGTTCTCTAAACTTTCAGCTGTGCTAATGCCCAGGCGTGGCTGCCAGTGCATTACTGCTCTCTGAACCCTCCTGTGGCTCAGAGAGAAGCAAATCAGTAACGCTGCTAAAAATTCTTACAAGTATCGCTCTACATTGTGCATCCACATTTGTCAGAGACCGACAAGAGAATGGAAAACCAGCAGAAAAAGCAAGGTGGGGAGGACCTGAGGCGAACTGTATCCATCCTCCTATCTCAGGCTTGAGGCCATGCAGCTGGGAAGCAGCTCAGACCATGCTAAAGGCCTGCGGGCAGAAAACTTTCATAGCATAAATGCCATGGTGTTAAAGGCCTCCAGTGGAAACAAAAAAAAGAATATATCAATCTCCTCTTCCAGTTCACAAACACATGTGGAAAAAACTATTAATGGGATAGGAAGCAAAATAGATGCTCCCGGGTTTGACAGTTCAGTTCCACAGTCCTCTGAGGATAATAGTTTTTAAAGTTTCTTTGTGTATATCAGCATGGAAAGTGAGATATCAGCAGGGACAGTTACAGTACGGAGAACACACAATTCAACTTACAAGAAAGGGAAATATCTTTGTAGGTTTTAAAAAGGGGTGATACTGTCTACAGTGCCTGGAGGTACACCTGTCTAACCTGCCTGACAAAGCTCATTCTGGTCCTGCCCCTCCAAGGCAGTGGCCATGGCCAGGTAGATCTCCACAGGAGACCAAGGAGCCAGCTGTGAAGCTGTGCCAGTCATTTTGCTTTTCAGAGCTCAGCATAGGCAGAATAAAAACCATGACCATGGAAGCTAGTTTGAATCAAATTCAGGCTTTTCTATGTGATTTCTAATTACTAAAACAAATGTAACACACTTATGCTTTTAGCAGCCTGAGCAGATGCCTACAAGCACAGTGTCCTTCACTACAAATAATTCTGTCCTGGCTAAAGCAAATTAGCGCCATATTCTGACCCAAACCCCAACCACAATTAGAGAAAAAGTCAAACGTCAGTCATACAAGTCATTGGGACTGTCTGGACATTTACCTGTTTTATGATTTGCAAACTGCAACAAATTCCTACACCTGTCTAAAGCTTACAAACACACTGGTGGTAAACTGAAGAAAGGAGGCTGTCGAGGCAACTAGCAGCGACATGTCCACAGCCCCACGCGAGCGGTGCCACAAACATCCTGTCACCGCTGGGCTCGCCGGGAGGGAGCGCGGGGGACACTGCGGTGCTGGGCAGCGCAGTGCAGCGGCAGGAGAGCAGGGCCACTGAGGTCCCTAACGAACGCCGTCACACTAATGATACCGACGGGCAAGGGAGTTACCTGACACAACGGTGTAGATGCTGGAGAGGAGCAGGCAAGCGACCATCATCTTAGCGGTGCCCTCAGCGAGACGAACGAGAGACTGATCCATTGAGCGCAGCTTCCCCTTTTTTATAGACTTCGCTCTTACTCTAGGGACATTCCCCCTCCCTGCACATACGGTAAGAGGCACCTCTTAAAAACTTGCTGCCCTCCGGCGCTCATATGCGTAAGGAAAATTTTGGGGGACATGACTACAAATGTCAGAGCCAGAAACCAAAGATTTCCCAGCTGGGCTGCTAGACTTCCAGGGGTAACGGGGTTACAAGACTGGGTTTTTCACAAGTGCCTTTTCCATGAGGCTAGGTTTTTGCAGGTGCCCAAATAAAAGTCCAGATTTCTAAGCTGGCTGAGCAGCCAATGCCTGTCAGTATGCGGGGGGGAGGAGGAACTGCTGCCCTGGCCCTGACCTGAGCTCAGGGAAAGGAGCTCAGGTCAATGGTTGTGCTGTAATAAGTAGTATGAATGTCCCCAACATGTTACTCAGAGGACCCAGTTAGGGGTCTGCACCCCACGTCTAAATCCATGGAGACCCAGGAGTTGCTGCTGATGCTGTAACGCAACTCTTTTTCCAGGTAAGGAGAACAGAACAAGCGGAGCGTCTAATACAGTGGCTAGATCACATGTTACCTCAGGCAAAAAGCAGAGCCTTGGTCTCCCCTCTCCTCTACTGAGGTTGCCCCCATCTCCAGAGGCCTGTGCTCCTTCAGCAGCCCTGTCCCTTGGAAAGACAGGGTTGCCGTCCCACAAGCACACCTGCTCCTCTCCACCCTCACCTGAGATGACATAAGAATAGCTCACACAGCCATTACGAGTCATTGTTTTTGTGCCTTTTTGCTTTGTCATTTTTATGACTGTGTTTCTCTTTTCCTGCCAGCTGTGATCACATTGCTGAAACCAAAAAAACCCTCAGCTCGCAGGTCATTCACGCGCTCTGTGGAGGGGCAACCAGCCCGCAAGACCTCATTTGCTAATCAAACTTGTGCTGGTAAACTGTGTTTCATCTTTCTGCTTTCTGATTAGGTCGCTTACATATTTGCGAATTCTTACTACTCCAAATGACTATGATTGCACTAAAAATGTTTTCTTTTAGTTGAATTGCTGCACAGATTAACCCTGAATCATGCAAAGATGTTGGTGGAAGCCAATGGGCCCAAATTATAATGCAATAAAAAAAATTCTCAGACATGCTTACATATGCACAGTTCCTTCTCTCCTCCGAAGTGAAATAGCTCAAGTATCAGTATTCCTCTAAAGAAACATTTTGGGTGTGATTTTGAGTAGGTTCAATAATTCAATAATTAATTCAATAATTCAATAATTCATTCCCTTCACTCTTCAAACTGTGATTGCTTCCTACTACTGTCTTTCTCCTTTGAGGCATCACGTCTTGTTTTCCTTTCCTTGAGTTATTTTCATAGTTGCATTTTCCTGCAAAATTTCTGGAAGGGCATGCTGGTCTGTCAAAAATGTAAAATCAATAAAAAAGGGTTCTTGTGGGGTTTGCCAGACCATTTTACAGCTATTAAGCAATGCAAATAGCTTCAACAGGCTCTGAACCAAGACAGAGGGAAAATGGCCAGCCTTGTAATGGAGATTCACAAGCATTTAATTTCTGATTGTCAGCCTCTCAGAACTTCCAAAACTGAAAAAATCATTGAAGATTTGCTGAAACTATATCCTTTTGCACCAAAGCCTCCTAGCAGGATGTGGGTGACCTATGGAAAGAGTCATTCCAGGCTTTGCTGGTGTCCTCACTTTAGCTCTGCTACAATTTTGAAACAAAAGATTAACAGAAGAACTTTCCATAAGCTTGCAGACACTGTTGATGAAGTCCTCAAAGCTGACCTTCACCACTTAGTGATCACAAAAGGAACTGCACTTCATTTCAAAAAGAACTGCAAGACCAGTTGATGTATTTTTCTGCTCATAGGAAATGTTCTTGTCAGCTTTGACTATTTTGTTTTCTGCCACAAACACTCTAATCTTCCAAAAGTCCTTCCAAACAACCCTGAAAACCTGGGTGCTGCTGCAGCAAACACCTTTCAACAAAAAGCAAACCTTCAGTCTTAACAACACCCAAACATCTAATGGAGATGGCTATTGCGGTTGGAAAAATGTGTTGAGTTTGCAGCATCCCCTATGTGGATAGGCTGGCTGCTCCCTCCAGGCTCTGCCTCTCCCCTGGCAGCTCGTGATGCCACAGGGACTTTGGGCATGCAGGCACCCCCCATCCAGCCCACGTGCCTGTGTGCCTGCACGTGCATCTGACAGCTGCAGCATCTCTTTCTGATCCCCTCCCTCCCCCAGGGACCAGCCAACATCAGCAGCTGATTCATTACTTTAAACATGACAGGCAGAAATGTGTGAACCACTCATTAACCTCACCATTTTTTTCAGTTTTGTGAGCTTATCTTTAAGTGCATTTCTTTAGACATTTCCTAATCTGTTTGTCTTTGCATAGACTTTTGGCGGATTACAGAACTCCTCCTTGCTGCTCAGCCAGGTCCCATGCTTTCCTGCTTCGGTCGCACAGCAGCTTCGTTTCTGAGAACTGCACATCATACCTGAGCTTCAGGCACTTTCCAAAGCACAGTGAAAGCTTGGGAATAAATCAGACAGAAGATAATTCTGCAACCACTGCTTGAAAAACCCAGTGAATCACATTCTTCCCTTCCTTTCCGCTACACTAGGAAGGTCTCTCTAGTTCCCAGTAAATCAAAAGAGGACATAGAAGAACTAATTGCACAGTCACTAAATGACAACATTTCCACACAGCCTCAGTGACTAATGATATCAATAAACCACGCAGCTGCACTTCTGGAAAATATTAACAATTGTAGCCACTCAGGCACAAATGTAGCCTAAAACACTGCTTTGTCAACCATCAAACTAAAACATCGGGTTTCCCACCATCCAAACCCTTGTTAATAACCTGGTAGCTGCCTACCTTGTCAGCAGGATCCTGTGCTGCCTCTCCAGGAGTTGCCCGTGAAGTGAGAAAAAAGAGGGAGATTGTTTCATCCACTGCTGAATTGTAGCGACTTTTGGAGGTTGGTCCCTCAGTATTAGTAGCAGGTACCACTGTTGGGAAACAGCTTGTAAAATGCAATTGAATGGACACTTTATAATATGCCCATAAATAATGCCTGCACATGGCAAATCCCTCTCGATATCTTGGCTGGCTTCGGAGAGCTGCAGCACGCTGGGGTAAAGACAGCGGCTGCATCTGCCGATGCACGATTCAGGCTGTGTCACTGTGTCAGGGTGGGCTGTGGTAGGACCTGCAGTCAGCAGCCAAGGGATGCAGCAGGACCAGGCGACGCTCATTCAGGAGAGTTGCAGACACAGCGTCTCATTTGTGCACAAGTTTTAGCTCAGACAGCACAAGGGTAGTTTGTACGCAGCAACAGCTGTTTGTCGTTGGTTACGTTTGGCTTGGAGAGCATAGAGAATCATAGAATCATAAAATCATAGGTTGGAAAAGACTTCTAAGATCATCAGGTCCAACCATCCACCCAACAACACCATGCCTACTAAGATGTTTGATCTGTGATGTCTTCCCAAAGTGGGCTGCCTTCCTCTGCTACCCCACTGCTGTCGGCTGTGGTGAAGGACTGCAAATTACAGATGCCAGCGCTGAAACCTGGTGTGGGTCTGCCTAACAAAGTGCAAAAAAGAAACAAACTACGGGAAGTTCTTAGGTGGGGTCTAGCTTGTGGTGTTGTACATCTATCTGCAAAACTACATGTTACCAGGGGACAGCACATGTTGCAAAACCATCCAGTCAACCGCCCACAACTTCTCACCTCTGTGTTTTGATGAAATTGCTGCAGACACCTGAAGTCTTACACAGATTTTTTTTTTTCCAGCAAGCTACCGCAATTGCAATGTGTGAATTGAAACACACTTACTCCCTGAACCATCAGCCCTGCAAATTGTATTTCTGGTTCTTCAATTTTTCTTGTTCTTTGTAGCTCAGGATGAAAAAAAAGGGATTGAAAAGGACAAAAAGGAAAGGAGGAAGCAAAACCAGATTGCATTGGAATGCTTCAGTAGCAAAGGCTGTGCTTTTTTGGGGTTTGAAGGGTTTGGTTATTACCATTCTGTTTGTCACAACATTTCTCAGAAGAGCAAGATGGCCAGGGATGTGGTTTCCTCTTGCTGAGAGCACCCCAAGTTGCTATTTCAGTCGAGGGATCCTAGAGGGAGTCCGTGCTGCAACCCGCTAGTCGCTTTGTGGAGGTCACCAGCACCAGCACGCCCTTGCCGGCCCCGGCGCCCCAGGAAGCCACGTCACTCATCCATTCCTCCCCTCTTCCTCTCCCACCCTACCATTAGTGCTTGTCTGCAGTGGAGGCTTCGGGGCTTTTTTTTTTTTTTGTGTGCACACTGTCTGGATACTGCATACACTTACAGTGTGAGAGATAATGAGCCTCTTTGGTCACTGAGTTTTGCTCTGTAACACAGCCAGTACAGAAATCCACTCAACCAGCAGGGAAACCACGCCAAAGTTGGCTACCCAAGGGTGCAGAGATCCAGCGGAAGCATGGGAAACTGCTTACCAAAAATAAGGTAGGTTCAATACCATTCTATATTTAGTTACTAAACGAGAGGTCTATGAGAGTGATTTTATTAAAAATAGGAACACATGTTACCTGCAATGAATCAGCCTTAAGGGACCACGTAATGAACCACGAGGAGCCTCTTGATTAAACAAAGGTAATTTAGCAAGCAAATTAAGATGAGTAATATCATTCTTAATATGTCAAAGAGCATTGTCTCAGGATGTTTTTTAGGGAGTTTACTTCATCCGTAGGCTCTCAACACTGAGAGCCTGCTGGAGTGGGGAAGGAGTTACAGGTGAGGAACACAAGGAGTAGAGAGTACTTGTCATCTGTTCTGGGTTTCCCAGCAGGAAAACTACACTTCGAGGTTTACCTTGCCATCTCTTATCTGTTGCACTGTGTCTCATAAAGACAAGCTTTTATATAGAAAGATAGTATAGCA